AGAGATACATTAAGGTTATCTACGTATTAAAATTAGAGAGTGTATTAATTATAATGTATTAGATAGATAGCAAATCAATTTGTTTCCAGAAATGGAACCTGCGTACACTTCGGCATTTCCCCTTGGCTTCGGACCAATGAGGCTTTGGACTTCACCCACTGGAACCTGGGCTACGTGTGAAAGGAATGCATTAACCCTCAAAAACCAACCCACAACGGCAGAATTCGCCTCCAGAAATGGGGATATCATATGGGCATCTAATATGTATATATATATATATATAATATTATGTAATTATATATATATTGTATATATTATGGGAATCTACTAATATGAATTCACCAATCAACAGAGAATTGGCCTGCAGAAAATGGCACTCATGGCACTCATGGCGTCTATGTTTGATGGTCAGGCCGAAGTCTACCCCAAACCCCACTGGTTAACAAAATGGCTATGGCTATACCATGGCTATGATGGGTAGATTAAAAAAACAAAATATGGACTTCGGTTCTGTTATGATGGATACCCTCTGGTAAACATAGCAAACTGGAAAATCGCCATGTCTAATAGGTAAATCATGGTAAATCAAGGATTTCTATGGCCATTTTCAATAGCAAACTGTTAGTCATTACCAGAGGCTATACCGTCTGAGTAACCACTTCAGCGTCGGCCACCTTGATCCGGAAGCCTGGCAGCCATTCATTTTGATCGGTTTGAGCTTTGTTTAGATATCCAATTCACACATTCATGGCATATCTATCTATCTATCTATTTATTTATCTATCTATTTATCTATTTATCTATCTATCTATCTATTTATCTATCTATCTACATATCTATCTACCTATCTACCTATCTATCTATCTACCTATCTATCTATCTATTTATCTATCTATCTATCTACCTATCTATCCTATCTATCCTATCTATCCTATCTATCCTATCTATCCTATCTATCCTATCTATCTTATCTATCTTATCTATCTTATCTATCTTATCTATCTTATCTATCTTATCTATCTTATCTATATTATCTATCTTATCTATCTTATCTGTCTTATCTATCTTATCTATCTTATCTATCTATCTTGTCTATCTATCTTATCTATCTTATCTATCTATCTTGTCTATCTATCTTATCTATCTATCTATCTACCTATCTATCTATCTATCTATCTATCTATCCTATCTATCTTATCTATCTATCTATCTATCTTATCTATCTTATCTATCTTATATATCTTATCTATCTTATCTATCTTATCTATCTTATCTATCTTATCTATCTTATCTATCTTATCTATCTATTTATTCATCTATTTATTTATCTATCTATCTATCTATCTATCTATCTGTTTTTCTATCTATCGATTTATCCATTTATTTATCTATCTATCTATCTATCTAATCTATCTAATCTATCTAATCGATCTAATATCTCTAATCTATCTAATCTATCTGATCTATCTAATCTATCTAATCTATCTAATCTATCTAATCTATCTAAACTATCTAAACTATCTCATCTATCTAATCTATCTAATCTATCTAATCTATCTAATCTATCTAATCAATCTAATCAATCTTTCCATCAATCTATCTATCTGTCTATCTATCCATCTATCTATCTATCTATCTATCTATCTATCTATCTATCTAATCTATCTATCTAATCTATCTATCTAATCTATCTATCAAGCTATCTATCTACAGTATCTATCTACAGTATCTATCTACAGTATCTATCTACAGTATCTATCTACAGTGTCTATCTATCTATCTATCTATCTATCTATCTATCTATCTATCTAACTATCTATCTATCTATCTATCTATCTATCTATCTATCTATCTATCTATCTATCTATCTTATCTATCTTATCTATCTTATCTATCTTATATATCTTATCTATCTTATCTATCTTATCTATCTTGTCTATCTTATCTATCTTATCTATCTTATCTATCTTATCTATCTTATCTATCTATTTATTCATCTATTTATTCATCTATCTATCTATCTACCTATCTATCTATCTATCTATCTATCTGTTTTTCTATCTATCGATTTATCCATTTATTTATCTATCTATCTGTCTATTTATCTATCTATCTATCTATCTATCTATTTATTTATTTATCTATCTATCTACCTATCTATCTATCTATCTATCGATCTATCTATTTATCTATCTATCTATCTATTTATCTATCTATCTGTCTATCTACCTATATCGAACTATATATTATATATCTAATCGAAACAAATCTAACAAACAATTTCATCAACACCAAATTCGAAATCTAATCTTATCTAATCTACACCTGCTTCAAATTCTTCCCTTAAGAAATCTCCAAAGATCCTCCCGTTGTCTCGCCTTCCAGGGGCGCTTTAGACCCTGAGCAGGCCACAGGCAGAGTGGTGCCGGGCCTAAGCGGAGGATGGTAGAGGATGGTGGAGGTTCTCCCTTGTGGGTGGAAATCAAACATCAGGTGATGATATTGATATTAATACTTAGATATGATTAGATATGGTTGGATAATTCGAGTAGATAGATAGATAGATTAGGTAGGTAGGTAGGTAGGTAGATAAATAGATAGATAGATAGATAGATAGATAGATTCATAGATTCATAGATTCATAGATGGATGGAAGGATGGATACATAGATGATTAGATTAGAATAGATTGGATTAGGTTAGGTTAGATTAGATAGATTGATAGATAGATTGATAGATTCACTCCGTAACTGAGCCCGGGGCCAGCCAGTGAAACCGCGCACCTGCCCAAAGTCCATGATTTCTCATGGTTGATTGTATTTCTATAATGATGCATCAAACATAATCAAACTCACTTATATACCATTTTAATCCTAGAGTAAACTCACATAGATGTGGAAAACCCATGGTTTCCCGTTTGTTTTTTTCTCTACATTATCTACATTCATGGTGGGTCTTCGACATCTTTTTCTATGTTTACAGAAGGGTACAGCAAATCAAATGAACAAAACCGACCAAGGTCTACACAGCTACTTTGGCCCTCAACTCAGCTGATTGTTGCAGGCCTTGTCGCGCATTTGCAGGGCGGTCTCATTGTGTGGCCACAGCTTTCCTTCTTCCTTTGTGATCATTGGAGCCTCACCAGGCAGCCAGGCAGCCAGGGCTGTGGTAAGTGTCACATCCCCAGTCATAGACAATGATTCAAGTAATTACTAACCCATCCCTCACCAGTTGGTTTCAGTTGGTCTCCCCCATATCCCGGGATATGAACTCACTGTATCACCATGATATCTCCATATATCTCCATATTCCCCATTCAATTCTGGACCATTACATATCAGGCTTTCTATGGTTTTCTACCCCACTTGCTGCTTAAATCACGAAAAAAACATATTCTTCTGCAGTCACTTTGGTTCCAAACAAATCTCTTTGCCTCGGTCAAATCCTATGGGTGTAACCGTTTCATACCGTTTCCAGGACGGCTCCCATAGACATTGGTAAAAATTATGCACCTACCTAAGATAAATCCACTTGGTGAGTGATATTTTTCCCTCAAATCGCCCTTTTTTCTTTTCGAATCTACGTCCAGCCTTCTCTACCAGGGATTCATCCTGAACTTGGGCGGTGTCCATGGTCACCTGCGGGAAAAAACATCGTTGTTTTTGCCCAAAAAACAAAACGACCATCCCACAATACCACACAGCGATTCCTCAGAAATGAATAGAAATGATATATGGGTCTTGGTGGAATTCACCAACAAAAAGAGTGACTATTTTTAGTAAAAACTGTGTTTCATAAACATATAAATGGATATGTTGATAGGGGACTTGATTCATTTAATGTAGGGTTGACATTTCAATGCATGCAACTGGGTTTGGTGACTTGCCCAACATTCACCGCCATCTCAGATTGTTGGCGACGGAAAACCCACAGGATCGCTATCCCAAAAAATGACATTGACAAACAAATCGGCCAACGTCTATGGAACCCCAGAATCGATGCTTGGGTCTGGATCGACTCTATTCTATCCTCTGGTAAACTAACATAGCTATTGAAAATGGTCATTTATAGTGGATTTTCCCATTAAAAATGGTGATTTTCCATAGCTATGTTAAATTACCAGAGGGTATCCCAAAATGAATTCTTCAACTCTATCGAAATATGAAATTATGAAACCCAGCTCTATAGAATCGTTAACTCTCCGGAATGTCAAAATGAGGTCTGGGTCAAAAAACGGGGCTGCCCAGGAATGGATGGCCAATACTCAGAAATGAGCCCAACACATTTTTTAAAAGTTGGTCCGTTGGTCCCCAATTATCACCCAGCCCTTGTGTTAGGCAAGCTCGAAATCTGCTGATTTATCAATTCAGTCGACTTCCCATCGTGGTGGCAAAATCCCGAATTTCTCTGGCTATGTCCACAGCTACAACCCATGAAATATCATATTACCCAGACCCTCCGTTTGTACCGTTTGTACCCACAAACATGATGTCTTACCCTAGAATTTGATTACTTTGACAATTTTGGGGGTATTTGGAGGGTTTAGGTATATCCCTCCCCAAAAAAGACATGAAATCCCTGTAAAATCCAACGAACCGCAACGCCTCTTCTCTGAGAAGCTTGGGGATGACCTGGTGAGATACCGGGGATCTAAAATGCGGATGATTTTTCTGCACCAAAAACACGGTGCATTTTCCCTTGTCTTGAAATGCAGGGTTGTGATATGTTGTGATATAAAATCATGCATTTTATGCACTCTGTAAAGGCTGAATATTGGCTGATCAATGGCTGATCGATTTGCAGGCTGCCCCAATGTTTAATAATAATCTGCCCTTGGAATGGAACTCCTGCAATTTGCCACCCAGTGGTTTAGTATTCCGGAGGCGTTATATCCATTTTTGGATTGCGGAGGCGTTATATCCACATTTTTTTTATAGACTTAAGTCTGCTTACCCGGACTCAATAGTTGTTCATCTTGCCAAGCATGCAGGATGATCAACAACACCCAACATCCAAAGACTGCCTGCAAGCTCGGCATGAATGTGAAATCTAAAGGCCCTCACTTATCTCACTTCAATAAAATCAGCTGGCCATCCACCCATCAAATGCAACAATAGGGACGTATTAAGCACTAATTGGGGGGGGGGGCGGTTGCCATTCTGGGGTTGCCTCATATATATATATAATATAATATATAAGATATAATATATACTATATAATATATAATATATATAATATAATATATAATATATAATATAATATAATATTGTATACATAATATATAATATATAAATAAAAAAAATAAAATAATATAATATAATATAATAAAATATAATATGATATGATATGATATAATATAATAAAACATTATATAATATAATATAATATATATATATATACATACATATGTATAATATATATATATACATACATTACATTGCATTGCATTGCAATGCATTGCATTGCATTGCATTACATTACGTTACATACATACATACATTATAACTATAATATGAATCAAACGTCTGGTACCTTGCTGCAACTCAAAATGGCTGGGATTCAAGGATTGTTATCCCACCTAGATTCCTAGTTTTGCACCATCCCCATATCCAACCACAGTAATGGCCACGTTCATCGCAGCCTGGTCCACCAGCAGATCGGCACCCCACCTTGAGGTCGCGGGTTGGAAACAGATCGCTGTATTCACCAAAGATACTGCTGCTTGCCATATTTATTATACATATATACATCATTATATATATAACTCAATATATGTATATAGTATGTATATATATATATATATATTCATATTACATGTATATATATATATTATTTATGTACATATATATATATGGGTAAATAATTAACAGTATGTAAATGTTTTTTTCACTAACTTGAAACTTGCGGCCAGCTACAGGGATGATTCCCCGAATCCTAACCATGATGAACACAGTGAGGTCACTATTATTTGCCCAAATTCATATATCATATATACAGATAATAATAGTAATTATATAGATACCATTGTATATCCACATGCCCACATGTCTTAACCATTTTAAACCCGATGACCAACAAAAAACCTCTTAAAGTGCCACGGCACTCGAAGAGCTGGTCCAGCAGCTGGGGCGAGGTTTCGGAACCTCTTAAAGCGCAGCGATCCGCAGATCTCAAGTCATAGATGGGGCAAAACATGGCAAAACCACCATAAAACATGGGGATATCATGGGAATTCTGGTGTGTACGGGGTAAATCTCCAGGAAAGATTGGAAGAGACCCAGCAAAAATATGGAAAGCAACACACTGTCTTGTCTTGTAAAACAAAACAAAATGGGATTACACAATGGCAATGGCAAATGTACTCACAAGATCTCACATGTGGCTATCTGTCGAGTCATTGAATACATCAAACATGGGATGGTTATCATACTAAGAATGCCCTGACAGCCTGGGTCTTGAACATTTACCCATACAGAACCTTCGCTGTTCATTTGGCTTCAGGATGGGTTTTTGATTTAAACCAGATCAGTTGCTTTTGAACAACCTCGGCATAGACATGTTCGGATGTCCAGGCCAGTGGCCGGCCTAATGTGACTGACATAGGCCATGTACCTGTAGACCACGTCCTCTAATTTGGAGGCGTTAAACATCACTTAGCAGTTGTTCTGCACAAAAAACAAAAACAAGTGCCGGGCCGGGGAACACATGCGCTGTGTAAATCTCAGCCCCTGGTTCAAAGCATTGGCTTTCAATGCTGGCAATATGGTTCGCACAACGAATACACCGTATCCCATAATCCCATATATCCAGAAGTACAATGTGTACAGTGTATACACAGTATATATTCATAAATGTATACATAGATAATCTAAAGGGTATTAGCTATGTCCCAAAATAAGTTCATTGTGCTTTAGTCTTGGCCTTACCAATATTTGATTTCACTCTCAGATCCAGACCATCTAAGGAAATCTTCTCCTGAACAATGATAGGCCTCAACCGCGCACAAATTTTGGTGAATTGCAATCGCTCACACACACACACGCACACTGAAATATATATATATATATACATGATATTTACAAATGAGAATATATATATATATGTATATATCTATGTATATATATATGTATATATATAATCATGTATGAATTTGACATGTATACCACATGCTGGGACATGAATCCCTTGCTGTGAGCCAAGCCTCCATGGCTAGTTCGAACATTTTCCAGCCACGTTTGATTTACCGATCTTGATCGATATTCCAGGTTCGTACCCCATTACTTCTCCCATACCCTCTGGTAATTTAACATAGCTATTGAAAATGGCCATAGAAATAGTGGATATTCCCATTAAAAATGGTGGATTTTTCCATAGCTATGTAAACGTTTACCAGAGGGTAATTATCGCAATGGAAAATGATCCCCAATGGCCCAATGTTATTTTCTGGAAATAGAGTGTTCTACCACTAAAATTTAGCCTATAATATATTTAGCCATAACTGGAAATTATTTCCAATAATATAGTGTTTACCATAATTATGGACATGATCCCCACGAATTTGAATGAATTTTAGTGGCAGAACACTATTTCCTGTAACCATAGTTGTCCGAGCCCCGAGCCCCGCATCCATCTTGGCCACGGTGTAGAGGATCTGGACGCAACGTCTGACAACGCGTTTGGGAAAATCCTGTTAATAATTATATATATATATCTAATCTATATATTATACAACGTTATATTGTATTTTGTGTAACAAAAAAACATCACGTTGTGGTGCATTGAGCACCTTTTTCACAATGGAATAATGATGTGTCACACCACAAAATTGGGAAACACAACATGACTCCCCTTAGATATCTTCTTAAGCTAGGATGTCAAAAACAATTCTGTATGTATACATACATATATATATATATATTATATATATTAACTATGCATCAATCTGTAGCAGTTCAATGTCAAAGCTATCGAAATACCAACCAGGATTTGCCCAAATGCACGAGGCTTGGCGGTTGGCATGCTTGGTACAGGTCCAACATGACACATTAGCGGCTTCGCGGCTTCACGAAACAATCAGCATCCTTAAAACCACCAACCCGCTACATGTACTGTATTGGTTCAATTGGTTCAGCTATGTTCAGCTATACCTCCATTTTAGTGGTGCTTCTCTCATGGTCTATCCCCCAAACACATTATGTTTGAATACAAAAGTGACCACTCCATCTGCTGTGCCCTGGCTTTGACATACATTGCCCCAAACCGTTGTTTTTTTTCCAATTTTTCACCAGTTGGTTTCCCTATACTACATATGTATATATATATATATGTTTCATGATTCTATAAATCCCAAAGTTTGGTTGGTTAGCAAACCCCCATGCTTGTCCATGATGATTACTTCCCCAACCCCAATTTATGGTGATGCGCACCGTGATGCCCGTCTCTTTGTCGCCGGCTTGCAAGCAGCGTTGCACCGGGGAGGCTCCTGACACCAAACTACAGTCCCCATCATGAATCCAATATAAATCCATATAAATCCTATATATTCCTATATAATCATGCTTGTTTTCAGTGTTATTTTCAGCAACTTCCTATGTGCACCTTCCAATTGGGATCCAATCGTGGATCATCCCAAATGATCATACGCCAAAGTAAACAATTTGTTACTGGCCAGTAAAAAACATGAATCATACAATCAAAAAAAGGGACAAAACTTGGCAGTACAATTTTATTTTAATATCCACTTTCTCCTTCAACGTTTTTACACGAATTGTCAAAAACAAATTGACTCAATCTGTAGGTTGAAAAAGAGGAATCAAAAAAGGACCAGCATCTGCGAACATCTCCAGTTCCTCTCCACCGCGGAAGCAAAGAGGGGTGCAAATTCACCGTTCCCAAGCGCGGTGTCTGGCAGGTGCGCAGAAAGGGATCCGAATGATCCGACAAAATATGGTTTTGCGCCAAAATGGAATTCGAATTTCCCGCTTACATTGTTTAAAACATATGTTTGTTTTGACATCATTTAAAACACATTTCAAAACACATGTTCTCGTCACTAAGCAAAATGGATGTTCTTTTGAAAAAAAAGGAAGTCGAGAATCATAGGTACCAAGTTGAGATTACCCTGGTACCTGGTACCTAATATATATATATATATTAAGCAGCAAAATCATAGGTACCAGGGTAATCTCATTGGAGTTACTCTCCCATGTCCCGATTACATCCGCTACATCTTTGGTAAGATGCACTAAAATGGTGCATCCAGGGGATGCAGTTCCATTGTGATTTAACCTGTGCCATAGTTTTACAAACAACATATGTTAATATATATATATATATGTATATATAATATACCAACATATATATATATATACATACATATCAACATATATATATAATATATCAACATATATATATAATATATCAACATATATATATATATATAATATACCAATATATATATATATACATATCATCATAGGTACCAGGGTAATCTCATTGGAGTTACTCTCCCATGTCCCGATTACATCCGCTACATCTTTGGTAAGATGCACTAAAATGGTGCATCCAGGGGATGCAGTTCCATTGTGATTTAACCTGTGCCATAGTTTTACAAACAACATATGTTAATATATATATATATATGTATATATAATATACCAACATATATATATATATATATACATACATATCAACATATATATATAATATATCAACATATATATATATATAATATCAACATATACATATAATATACCAACATATATATATATATATATACATATCAACATATATATATAATATATCAACATATATATATATATATATAATATATCAACATATATATATATAATATACCAACATATATATAATATATCAACATATATATATAATATATCAACATATATATATATATATATATATATACATATCAACATATATATATATATATAATATATATCACCATATATATATAATATATCAACATATATATATATATATCAACATATATATATATATATAATATATCAACATATATATATATATATCAACATATATATATACATATCAACATATATATATATATATATCAACATATATATATACATATCAACATATATATATATAATATATCAACATATATATATATATCAACATATATATATACATATCAACATATATATATATATCAACATATATATATACATATCAACATATATATATATATATCAACATATATATATATATCAACATATAATATCATATACTGTATATATATATATTAATACAAATATGTGCAGTACTTATAAGGGAAATAAGAACCATAATACATATATAATATATACCACCAAAATATAAACCTAGAAATCGTATGCTTGAACATTGGGCATCCAAAGAAAAATGACACTATTTGACTAACACCAGCCCAGCTTTAAGGGAACCGCACCGCCGCAATGCTTCAACATCCCCCACCTGTAGAAAGCGTTTAGGCAAGTACTCTCCATACCTGGGGTGTTAACCACCGGGGCCAAGCGAAAGGGAATCTACCCCTTGTGAGTGGTTGGGGTTGTTATGGGTCGTTGGGTTTCATTCTTTGTCTATTCCTGCTGTCATTCCTGTCCAATGGTTTTTCTGTCGTATTGGAACTCAAATTTGAATCAAAAGGTCACACTCGACATGACTTCCAAACAAAATGACCACCAGCATCGCAGCCCAGCACGGGTATACCTTCTGGCAATCTAACATGGCAAGGAAAAACATCATCAATAAGACCATCTCCAAATGGAGTACAAACGAGACCAAATATAATTCAAATGGAAAGTGTTTTCCAATGTTATCCAGTGCCGTAGTCGATCACCATACCGGGTAACATATTTCTTTACACATTGGCACGTCTGGGAGTCGTCGCATTCAAGCGATTCTCGCTGGGTCCGAATTGGTGTGAAACAATGCCGGGCGAATGGGCTGTGCACCAAATCGAAATGATGAAAAACTCTAGAATCACATAAATCTAAGTGGGTTTAGTCATTTTGTTTGATTTAAAGTTTCAACCTTTCAAAACTAGAGTTAATCCCCACATGGCAACTCCCATTATCTAGACACGGGTAAATTGGATTAAATCGGTGACACGCCAAGAGTTTTGGCTTCAATGCCCCATCCTATCCTTTTCACCATTGAGGACCCAAACACCAAATATG